ATTTAACTGCTTATCACAGGGGGAAACGGAGAACAGAGAGCCGATCTCAGTGAAATTACAAGAGCTTGTGGAGGCTGGAATTGAACAGACTGGCTGATGATTCGTAACGAAACTATCGGACCAGTTGGGGTTTCCGATAGGAAACAAAAGGCAGCTACTGTAGACTCAAACAGATCTCAAAAGATTCAGAGGCATTGTTGTCACCGATTATATCTCCCAAAATTGCGAAGAGACTGAATTAACCTGGGGGGCTGCGTATGTGAACAGAAAATCTAAAGGTTAAATAATGGAGTGGGTCACCTGAGGATAGAAACACAACTCTACTCTTGATTTGTGCTTCAATAGAGCAGGAATACTCCCTGATTCGTGGTTATCGGATCTGGATGTTTGAGAGGCAGAACACTCTGTGAATGTATCGGGATTCCCTTGCGTTCCCTGGAGCGTTATGTGTAAACTTTCAGGAATGCTACAGATCCCAGTCCTCCTCTGGCGTTCCTCAGTGTTGAGTGTATTCACAGACCATTTTTTGTGGAGTCTAACCTTGGACTAATTCCTAAAAATAACCTTGTCTGTGTTTTGTAGGAATGTTGCTTTAATCACCTGCGAGTACACCCTGTTGACAGAGGCTGTGCAGGCAAACTCATCTTTCATCCTGTTTATCTTTATGAGTTCAATTCCTACAGGAATCGTAATGCCTAAATATGCAAGCTAGCAGCTGGCCACACAGTGTACTTAATCCAATCAATATCTAGCTGTCACAGAAACAGGACTCTTTTAAGGTGGTATTAACCATTTTATTTTGCGCTGCCACTGCCTGGGAATGTACAGTAGGATTTCTGTGTCTACGAGACATTAATAAAGGGATGAGCTTCAATCAAAAATTGTAATACAAATGTTGAGGAGTACACAGTATAAGCATCTTGGTTTGTAGATGATTGTGAAATATATTTAGCAATCGATTCTTTTATGCAAACCACCTTTCTGCTCCACCAGTACATTGCTACTTGTCTAGTGGGAGATCCTGATGCCTCACCTCCATATGATTTAAGGGGCAAAAAGTAATTTTGTTTTATTCCAGTTGAGTTAAATCTTACAAAGGACCTGTTTTTCTTTAATTTTCCATGTTATTTCAGGAACCCGTCGAACTGGTTCCACTAGTCCGTGAATCACAAATGTATGCATCTTCAGCTATCATCTAGTGGGCTTTTATAAATTTTAGATTTTTTTTTAATTGAGGAATATTATGTATTTTGTGCTGCGGTAGTAATTTACACAAGTATTTCCAGCACCATCTTCAGCTACAGAAAACTAGAGCTGTTGTGTTCTAGAAATGGACTGTTTTTTTTAAGATTCATGTGAATTTCAAACATTTTAGACACCTTACTTATTACTTTGTATGAAAATATGTCCTACTACTTAAGCATTAATAATTCTCCGGATTTTAAATTAGCCTTTCATCTGCAAACCACATTTTAACCGCCTGAGCTGAACTGAGAAACCTCCCACCAATGTATTCCACAGCTGAAATTTTTATAATACACTTCTTTATATATCCCTGGTTAAAGAACTCACAGTTAGGCCCCTCTAATCTTTTATCTTATCACATTTGAGTGTTTCACTCTTTATGTACTCAAAATGTAAAATTACCACTTTACATAAGTTTGTATTCCACACAGCCCAGCATTAAAAGATAAGATAATCTTATCATTATCTAGATTATTTCAATTTTTCCAAAACCAGCTGTGAAAATCATTGTGTGAACAGTGTCTTGCTGCTGATAAAGCTTAAAGGAAAGTTATAAATGTTGGGAACCAAAAGACTTAAAAATCGGGTATACAGAGTTTTGACTTTGGTTAAATGTTTCCTTTTGTTACTTTGATTAAATGATCTTTTTCTGACTTATTGTGGGGCACATATGTGTCCTTGACATTAAATAAGCATTACATCACCTGTAGCATGTCAAGCCTGTTGAAAAGCCCATATGCTCTTGGTATCAAGAGAGCTGTGCTTTCATTTCATTGCTGTTTTGGAGCAACACCTCACCTGGAGTTCCCCATAAGGGGAACCAAGTTCTCTTCAGTAGTTACTCAAGGTTTTATGTCGACCACCCTGATCAGCGTCACCAGCTGTGGCACAGTCATGCAGAACACAATGTAATGGTTGTGTGCTCCAGGCCCATCTAGGGGCAGGTCTGACTAGGAGTGAAGAGTCACTACAAAGCCCCACAAGTAGCGCTTGATGGCAGGTTGACTCGCTGACTCCCTTCACCTGGGCTTTCGTTGACGTAACCGTCAGTGACAAGGCAGTCCTCGTGCTGCTCGTGTTAAGTACTGTAGCTCTCTTGTGAGGTGGGACAGTGACAGCGTCCACACCAGAACCCCAGCCTCGTTGAATATGCAGGACGAACGCGGATGATGTGTGGTGTCTTTGTTTCGCGGCTGACCCCTGTGGATGAGTACTAATCGGGAGTACGGATTTTCCTGTGTTGTGCATATTCAATGAAAAGTCTGTGCACCTGCTACAAAAAGCTGGTCACCTTTTCTTGATATCTTTATGAATTTGATGGGATTGTAAGAAGTTGGGTTCTTTTATTATTCAGTATAGTTTGTTTTAGATGCACGTTTCACGTTCTAAAAACAGAGAAGAGATCATAGAGGCCAGATCTTTTCAGACTTTGATTTCAATTTAAGCCACCAGAGAATTCTGCTGTTTTTTCTTTTTTCTCAGTTTTTTGCATGTGCAGGACACTGTACCTTTCCACTATAATAACGCAGTCATACATCATTACAGCATTATCATTATTCAGATGCCCCCAGACTAACTGAACATGCTGTGAAAACTGCTTTGTTCATCCAAGACAATATCTGGGGTGACTTTTTTTGCTTTAATCATCAGAGACAGAACATTCTTCAGTGGATATTGCATATGTTGGACAATAAGCCCTTCTACATCTTAACAAGCCCCATCTCGAACACATTCCTCACCCTCAGCATTTTCCTGAAGGGTTAAACAGTTGTCACTCTCTCATTGTCTTGAAAAACCCCCCCGGCAATACTCTATACCATGACAAAAGCTCCATGTTATGGGGAGACATCTTGTTATTCTGCCACTGAGCCATAAAGACTGCTGTGAGGGCATTTTACAATTAAATAAGTTATTGTTTTTTTATTACTGTACATTATATTTTGAAGGTGGCATAGCTCACAATGATGAAGAGCAGGAGATGTACAAAGGTGTGCTGCGTAATTATACTAATAGCATATAAACCGACTAGAGATGGACTGTTTTAATAGGGAAAAGCAGGCAAATATTGAAACATAATGGCCTTTCTAATGGGAATATTTCTCGAGAGCAGTTAACGCAAGGCCTTTTTATGGGTATAATGTAGGCACTTGGATGCAATAAACTGATTCAGAAAATGAGATTAGGCAATATATCAAGAGCAGGGCTGTCTCACGAGGGCTGTAAATTTAACAGCAGGCCGCTGCAGGAATCGGCTTTTGTGGTCCATGAGCACAACAAAAATCAATTGTTGACCTCCTGCGCCACCAGCACCAGGCTGCAGTCTGGGAGGGTGGTTTTGCCTTAATTAATGTACCTCTGACTGCATCACCCCTTCGGATAAGGTAAATGATTATTTCTACGTGTTGCACACCGTATCTGGTTAGCCTTAATGTTCGTTTTCTACCCTTTCTAAAATGCTTCAACACCAATTCATGGTGCTCGCTGTTCTCAAAGCCAGTGTAGATACAGCTCTTGACATTTTCAGGCAAGACCAAATTGAACAGCTCATGGCTTGAATAATATTTTGTATTTGAAGGCTAGACAAAGGAGATATTCTGTGCAGCATTACCTAAGAAAATATACAAGAAATACATGAAAGAAAATGCACTGGAGAAGAGAAGGAGCCAGGGTATGGGGAATGCTGGTAAACCAATATCTTTGTAGCTTTTTACTTTCTCACAAGGTTTCAAGTGGATTTCAGGAATAGAGGCCTCAGAACAATCAAATGTGTTGGGTCTCCTAATCCTGCAATGAGCTAAGCTACTCTGTGCTTTTGCAATCCAAATGAATTGTACTGGCAGTTCCCCGTGATTAATTCTTAGCAGGCAACGCGTTTCCTTTTGGAGAATGGCCTGTCAGACCTGCTTCTGTAAATAATGGCTCTTGCAGCAGCATGTTGTCATTGTACTTGGAATGCGTATTTAATGGCGTGATGTTGCTGTGGTTCATCAAAGTCTTATTAAACAGCAGTTGCAAAGTAGTCTTAGATCAGAGCTGTAGCGGCTACTATACTGTATATCAAATCATTTTTACCTCTGGGTTTGGCCACCTTTCATTTGCAGTACATACTCAGGCTCTGCACGCAAGGGGAATGAAGACAAGAGATAAGAGTCCAATAGGCTCCTGTTCCTTCTAGTCTTTTAGTCAGTAGTGGTTAATATCCACAATCCCTCTCCCGCAGGTATGAAAGCTTCTTGAAACCCTCCATGAAAAGTGACAATTTAGACTAACCAGTCATTGTCAGACATAACCTGCTTATCCCTGGGAGGAAGGAGGAAAATCATGCAAGAATGAAGATGGGCATGAAGAAAATAACACCTCTGTTCAGCCAGGCACTCCGAGCCACACTCCAAACCAAGATCCTCACCCATTTGTACAGGACAGGAATAGAAGCAAACCCAATAATCATCTCCGAGCGCCTGAACAAAGAACTGGTCTTCTGCATGATAAATTCTGCCACTGCGAAGCTTAGGTAATAAATTACACAACCCAAAGGTCAGTAATCACATCGGCATAGCTGCACAGTGTCTATTTCTTCTTAATCAAGTATATCGCCGGCCTGGCACAGATACAACCAGCAGCATATAGAACAGCTACATTTAATAAATCATTTGCATGGTAATGGAGCTGAAAGAGCCTCATAAAGAGGTATCCTTTTTACATTTAATTTGTCTGTGGATGTTCTCTCCCATTATTAATACTTAATTCATTTTTAGGTTATTATGAACTAAGAAGCTATAGTGCACAAGAGACGCTGGGACTAGTCAAAAGATGCATAACTGGGCAGATCTTTCCTTGGACTGACTGCAGTCATTTTCAAACCTTCAATTCACCCATCAGGCACAACCACAGGTCCTTCGGTCACAACAATGCATGATTATCTGACTTAACCAAACGCCTTAATTGCAGTTGTGCAGACTGTATTACAGAGGATTGTATACTGTGTCTGTCTGAAAAGATGCACTAACCTTCTGCAGATTTTGTTTTTCCTCAGAGGAGAAAAAAAGGCTCATTCTCATTATGTAAAACAGTCGTGGCTAGAAGCTCCTCAGTCAACACGCTTGTTTAAAACGTTCGCAACTGCTTCTAGTATCACTGTAGATGTGAATGATGAATTTGAGTGTTTCCTGGGACAGTGCCCTGTTAGAAATAGCATATCGTACTTGATATAAGGGGTTTTCTTCGTTGGTGACTAACATTGATGAGTAACGGTTTCCTGTGACTAATGTACAGTATCATGCTCATGTGTGCGTAGAAACTATTTTCTCTACACATGCATGGAGTTAGAGAGGTCCTCTTGAAAGTAAAGGTCACTCACAAGCCAAGAGAGGCAACAAATTGTGCAGGTGTTCGTGTTGACAGTAGGGCTGAGATGATGTTTTTTACCATCAGTACATGTTTTTCTTAATGAGGCATTGATGTATTGTTTTTTTTCCATAAATCTCTGAGATAAACAAAGGGCAGCCCTGGTTCTGCTTAACTCTCGGTCCTTTGCTGTTGTGCCGGAGAAGTGTAGTATCCCAGCAATTTCGTTTTGTCGCTACTGCAGCAGTGTGAGGACATAGATAGCTGTAAAATCATAACAATAAAAAGGACAATACATCTTGCTGGATGACATGTTAAGTCTATAATATATGAAACAGGGAAGCTTTTTTATTTATTACTTGTCAGTACTCTTAAAATATGCATAATGTGGAATAATCATAAAAAAGACGAGAACTTGCATAATTCGGCTGACTGGTTATGCATCCCAGACAAAGCAATTGGATGTTGCAGCTTTTTGTTCTAGACAACTGAGCTACTGCAATTTTTTTCAATGTACTAAAAGGGAATAAAAAATAGTCATAAAAGGCTCTCCGGTACTAATTTTATTGCACATGCTTTTCTCTGCTGCAAGGAAAGATTTGCTCCTTAAAAAGCCTTTAAAAACAACTGGCAAATTTTGTTCAGATCAGTTCTTACTTGCTTGAAATTTCAGAATAGGAGATGAAGCAGCA